CTGACTAGACCCATTTATTGATCCTGCCCAGCAGTGGGGAGAACACTGTGTTGCTGTTAAGAAATGCCACAAGGGGATAAAGCAGACACAGGCTAGTTTGCGTCCCCTTTGTAGACACAAATAATACCCAGGAATCTAGTGTGGAGCCTGGACAAGCAATAGATCAACAGCAGTAAAGCTCCAGGCTGAACTTTGTTGCAGAGTGTGTTTTCTGCCATTTCTCAGCCTACCTTCTCTGTACACTGTGCTGATGTGGTATGGCAGATGAGGGGGAGAATGCTTCCATAATATGACTGAACCTTCCTTGTAGCTTCTAGAAGTCCCCCTCCTCACAACAGTTTTGGTGCTGCAATGGCCACAAAAAAAAAAAGAGAGATGATACGATCATATTTAAAGATCTAACAGTATGGAAATCACAGCAAGGCACTTCAGATGTCCTCAAAGAGGCAGTCTGGTGTGACAACACGCTGTGATGTGCACTTGTTGAGAAAGGGGTTCTGACATTGAAGGTGTCTCCATTTAGATCTCCACCCTGAGACTGGTAAGTTAATGACTGGCTGATTGGTAAGTTACTAGGGATAGGAAGCCACAGGGACCAGGTATTCTCCTGAGTCATCAAGGACCCAAACTAATGTGACTATAGAAAGAATTCTCTTTTTTTGCATGTGTATGTATGTTTATGTGGTGTGTCCTTGTGTGTATATGCATGTACACATGTGTAGGTATATCTTAGGAGGCCAGAGGCTGATACAGGGTAGATTCCTCAATCAGTCTTTGCTCTATATATTGAGGTAGGATCTCTCCCTAAACCTGGAGCCCAAACACTTGACTAGTCCAGCTAGCCTACTTACTCATCTCCGCTTCCTAAGTTCTGGAAATACAGGCAGGCTGCCATACCCATCCTGTCATTTACATGGATGTTAGGAATCCCAACTCCAGTTTTTTAAACTGTGCAAGCATTTAAGCCACAGAGAGGTCTCCCCAGATTTCTTAATCTCTTTGAGATCCACTTTTCCCCTTTATGTAATGGAATTGATAATAGTACCTGCCCTGTTGAGATCATTATGGAAAATAAGTGTTTACATCTCTGTAATGTTTGACTTATAGTAAACGCTCAGTTACTATTATTTTTAGTGATGCCAGTGGGCTATTTTTGCACATCTCATTACACTCTCAGTGTCAAGGTGCTCTAAATATCAGGCCTAGGCTAGTATGTCTGGTATCTTTCCAAGGTATTTTTTGGCATGTCTAGGTGGTTAATGAGAGTCTATAAAGCATGGCTGTCATCCCTTAAGAGAGAAGGGGACTAGCTCTGTAGTACCTTGCTTGTTTTCTTCCTTCCATATCCATTGTTCACCATGTCAAAGCTAGTCACGGAAGGGCTGGTTGTCATTCCAGATATCTTTATAGCGTCGTTCTCTGCCCATAGTCTCTGATGAGAAATCCCCAGATTGTGGCAGCAGCAATAATCCATTGCCAAACTCACAATATTGGTCTCTTTGAGAGTGAGCCTGAGGAAGGTTTTTACTAAACAGACCAGAGAAGGGTTTCCATAGCGTCCTCTTCTCCTTGGGAACATTGTAAGGACTAGAGGAGACCTTCCCTGCCTGTCGCTATCCTAAACATTTCCATTTCTCCTATGAAGTCCTGATCTCACTAGAGAAATCATCCTTTCCAGAGTATACCCCATCTGGCCCTCACAGAGAAGCCTGACTCCATGGGTCACAAGGCAAAGAATAATACAGGAAATAGGAAAATTGGACTCGGTTCCTGGAAAAGTAAGAACTAGCTCCCTGACCCCTCAGAATCTGGCTTCTTTGTCTTCCCTTCTTTTCTCTCCTCTCTCTGTCAGGAGTTGGTTCTCTCCTCTGCATCGCTTGGCTGGGGGCATCATGTCACAGCAGCATCTACATACACGCATACACAGCTGTAGCTGTGACCCCTAGAAGCATAAGCTCCAGGTGCCATCAAGGCAATCGTGGGGGGGGGTGCTCACTCCTCTGTTCACCTAGGCAGCACTCCCTCTGCATCAAACAAAAGGCTCACCTGGTTCTCTTGCTCTCCTTATCTTTCTCCAGAATAGAAGCCTTTTATTCCCACTGGGGACCAAAAGGAAGATGCCCCCACTAAGCGCTACATGGGAGCAGTTCAATGCTGGACGGAAGAACCCTCATAGAAATGATTTATATGACCCCATTTTCCCTATGCTTTTGATAAATAAATGACTAGAAATTTTTTTCTTCAACTTCTTTCAGAGGCTTCCCAATTTAAAAAAAAATTATTGTAAAAATTCGAGCTCAGGGTTCAAAGGCCTAGCTGGCGTGGGCAAGCATCATGATGCTCTTGCTCTCCCTAGTGGTGCTACAATGGAAACTCGGCCCTTCTACCTCTCACCTGTATCTTTTCTCAAGGTGTGTCTAGAGATGCTGGCAGCCTCTCTCAGGTGTACTCAAGCCTTGTATCATTTGAGCTGAATCAGTTATGTTTCTCCCTGGGGTGACAAGACTCCTTTATCCAAGTCTATATTTCCTCCCATTAACCCTACTCTTCTTGAGCAATTTTAAGACAAATAGTAAGTGCACACATAACCCCTCGAAGAAATCAGGGCCCCTAGTCATAAGCTGTCTGTTCAGGACAACACTGCCTTGTCCCAAGGACAAAATACAACCCTGCTCTGGGAAATCATTAGACTAAGAGTCTAGGTCTTTGGCTTTTCTTGGCATTGACCCCATTTTCCAGCCTTTGACATTCTAAACATTACTTGCATGCTTGCCACAGAGTTCTGTGAGCAAACTGGGCTTGGCAGCAGACTGGATGGTAGAAGAGATGACGCTTCTGCTGCCTGGAAGTCTGGGAGTCAGCACCCCAAACCTTCAGTCTCCCAGCTCCCTCCAAGCCTGTCCTCTTGTGGGGCCTCTTCAGAAGGCCATCTAGGAACTCCTGTCACAGACTGTAGACTACTTACCTGAATACCAGCTTCAAGGAAACTTCCTAAGGAGCCCAGATTGTACCTAGAGTATAGAATCTGACTTCCAAGGATAGGCACCCATCCCATGTCTATACACAATCTCCCTGAATCTCACAGACAAAAATATAAGAATGGGTTGTGGAAGAGCAGAGTCCTCTCCTTTGGTCCATTTCTTATCCTGCTACTGATGTCAGCACTTTGAGTTCTCTTGTTTTGAGAAGACATCCTTTGTCTTGGTCATCTTTCTGGCATTATAACATCACATCCAAGATACCAACTCATGAAGAGAGAGTTTCTGTTGACTCGAGGCTTCAGTCTGTTATCAGTTGTCTTGTTGCTTTGAGGCTGGATCTGTAGTTACATAATAGATCACAGAATAAGTGTGTAGAAGAGTAAAACCAAACACTGTGGGGCCAGGAAGCAAACCAGTGAAGAGGGGCCTGGGATACCATGAGCCCTCCTCAAAGGTATTCCCCCCACAGACTATCTACTGGGCTTCACTTCTTAGAAGATCTCCCACCTTCCAGTGGTGCCATCCAGAAAACTATGCCCAGGAAACATGGGGCTTGTGAAGACACTCACATTCCAAATACTGAAAGGTGGAAAGATGGCTCAGTGGTTAAGATTGTATACTGCTCTCACAGAGGGCATGAGTTAGGTTCCCAGTGTCCATATCAAGGAGCCCACACCTGCCTATTACTCCAGCTCCAGTAGATTTGATGCCTCTGCCCCCGCCCCATAGGCACCTGCATTGATATGCATGTACCCATACACAGGAGGACATGCATACACAATAATCTTTTTTTTAATCTAAACCATGGCAGCTTAAAAAGTACAAGCATGCTGCCTATATGGTGTCAAGTCTAATAAGGATCCAGCAGCTTCCTTTCATCTGGGTCAAACATATATTTTGATGTTTTATATCTTTGACTTTACTTTTAATCAATTTTTAAGAAAAGTGGACGCATCAAAAAAAGTGCCAAGTGAATGCTCTACAACCAACCATTTCCAGGTCAAGAACTAACACTGGTGAAGACCCAGCCAAAAGTTCCCTGTCACCAGCCCCTTGTATTCATTCCACTCCTCAGAGGAGCTACTCGTCCTCCTGCCTGCAAACAACATACACTAATGCTACTTGGTTTTCTGTTTTGTTTTATTTTAATTAAAACATAATTGCATAGCTCCCCCTTCCCTCTCCTCCCACTTATCTTTCCCGTGTGCCTGCCCCACCCTTTCCTACCTTCTACCACTTTGCCACACTCTCTCAAATTTAGGGCCTCCATCTCTTTATCAGCCATTACCTATATAGTTCTAAATATATAAACATAGCCTTCTCAGTCCATTCAATGTTACCTGCATGTATATGACTTCTGGGCTGGCCACTTAGTATTGGAAGAGCAGTTTGGGGACTCTTCCCTGGGGAAGATTATTTCTCCTACGCTCAGCATCCCTTAGTGACCTGTAGTTCTTTGTCTAGTGTTGAAGCGCCATGAAATCCCCCTTTCCACATTATTGTGTCTGTTGGTGTGGTCCCCACTTGGGTCTTGTTAAGCAGTAGTCATGTTGGTGAGACATCACAGGTGTGTAATGCCACCAGTTTTTGTTTCTCACTTACAGACATGAAATCAGACAGTGTATATTCCTATATCCGGCTTTAGTTACTGAGCATTATGTTGGTCTCAATTGTAGAATTTTCATTTTTATGAGGTATGTGCATTTAGTAGTTGTATTTTAGGATGTGTTCTCCAAAGGACTTGGCTATTCTTATAACTTGGCAAGTGCCATGTATCCGCTGCCACTGTCCCCTCCCCATTTCACTGGTCCCCGCCTTCCTGCCTCACCTCTAGAAGTCTTAAAACGCAAAATCTCTAGAGACAAGAAGAAGCCCAAGGTGTGATGTTTGGTTTGGCTGAAGGACGGTAGACGACGCCCAGGCAGATGCTTCCTGCAGAGCTGGGTGGGGTGGCCAGAGGTTCTCAATGTCCTGGATTCCCCTGACGTTTGTCTGATAAGCATATTTTTGTCTTCGTAGGTGTGCCTGAAGCTGAAGTCACTTGGTTCAGAAATACAAGCAAACTGGGCTCCTCCCAGCATCTGCATGAGGGCTCCTTGCTGCTCACAAACGTGTCCTTCTCTGATCAGGGCCTATATTCCTGCAGGGCAGCCAATCTTCACGGAGAGCAGACTGAGGGGACACAGCTCCTGATTCTAGGTAAAAAACTTCTCAAAACCACGGCCTCGGGTGGCAACTGACCCACCCTCCACCTCCTTTTTCCTCTTACTGAATTAAGAACAGAAAGTAGTCCCTTCAGTCACTCCTCCCACAATCAACCCTTCCAACAGACAACACAGAGTGCGGGGCCAACCAGAGCTGAGTGTGAAATCTGCCTCCACCTCGTTAGTTAACCTTTGTGGCATTGGATAAGTTACTCGCCTTGCTACATCTTGGATGCTGCTGTCTGTGAGAAACCTGACAACAGAGGATTGCCCACATTGCTTTGGCACAAGGGTTATCAAATGGAGCTGGCCAAGAAAATGGCTCTTAATCACATGCTAGGTTTGTCTTTGAAGAGCAAATGAAAAACATGGATGAAAATTTCCTTATGTGTAGCTGGGTGGTGGTGGTACACACCTTTAATCCCAGCACTTGGGATGCAGAGGCAGGTAGATCTCTGAGTTCGAGGCCAGCCTGGAATTCCAGGAATTCCAGTCAGAGCTGTTACACAGAGAAACCCTGTCTCGAAAAATAGATAGATAGATAGATAGATAGATAGATACATACATACATACATACATACATACATACATACATACATAGACACATAGACAGACAGACAGACAGGCAGGCAAACAAACAAACAGTCCCTGGGCCACCATCTACCATGATGGTTCCCCAGGACAGAGCTTGGCCATCTTGGAAGCTACAGCCCCCTTTGCCTGCCTGCCTTCTGCTTCCTTTCCACTGAGTCGGGGATGGGTGGGTGAGATAGAACAGAAGTTTCTAGATGGAGCCTTACCCTTTAAAAACAGAGCAATAATTAGAGCCCGAATGCTGACTCTCTCACCAAGAGAAAGCTGTTACTCTAAAGGGGAAGGGGGAAGCAAAATATGAGAATAATAATTACATACCACACATGTATACATCAACATACACTGTGGACTTTTGCGGGGGAAAATAAACTTTACACTTCGATTTTCACACCCACAGCTGATGATGTACCCTCACCCCTGCCCACTCTGATTTCAGGGGCCCAGCTGTGGTTTCCTCTCACTGGTGGCTGCATAAACCTCCAGACTTCATAGGAAGCCACAGAAAATTGGCTCAGAGAAAAGAAGGATGTCATTTGTTTTCCACCGGGCTTCATCAACTGAGCTGTTATTCTGGGGTCATGCTGAGTGATAGTACTCACTGGTGGGATTTTTCTCCCTAATAGCCCTTCTTGCTGTCTCTGCTAACAGAGATGGGAGCCTTGGAGTGCTACTGTGGCATCAGCGGGGAAGTATTTTCTCTGAACCAATTCTTACTGCATTCCAAATAGAGTATGACCATTGAATGTGGTGGAAGAGCAGGATGCCTTCCCCATTTTAATCAAACCTTCCAGAAGAAAACAGTCATCGTTCAGATCCTTATAAGAAGTCTTGGTTTAATTAAGAAAAGTTAACATGGAAATAGCATTTCTTTTTTTATCAGTGATAACATGAATTAGTTTTTAAAGGGGAAGTTTTGTATATCAAACTGAAATTTCACATCAAGTCCTATGACTTAACTTGTAGTCTAAAAGCTTAGCATGGAATGATATGGGCATTCATTCTTTCAGTCAGTGGACAGATGTTTGTTGCGTGTTATCTCTAAACCCAAGTTAAGTGGACACTGGTAGAGTTTTAGTGGGGAAAAAAAATGAGGTGGTTTCTGCCCCTGGAGAATTTACATTTCCACTGGGGAGATAAAATAGGCACATTCACACCAAGAATTGCCACAGAAGCTATAGCAACATAAGCAGGGGCTGACATTTGGCCCAAGGAGAATAAATTGTTTCTCAGATGAGACTAGCCTTCCCTTTTTGCTAAATTTAATGAGTAAATAAAGGAGGAGGAGAGGAATAAAGACACTTCCATGGTGGCTGTTTACTCAGAGATCTTTATAATGAGGCAGCTAAGGCCCAGTAGGCTAAGGGCTAGCCTAGGTTAATCAATGGCACAGCTGTAGTTCCAACTATGGGTTTCTAAAACAGGTACGTTTTCCCTCTGCAAAGGGTTGAGTGCACTCTGTTTCTCATGAAGATGCATCATTTTACCATTGTCTTCTCCCTGTGATGGTCTTTGTCAGTCAAGGCAGAAAGATGAGAAGGTTGTTCCTCAAGTAGACACTGTCAGTATTTATGGACATGCCCAACACAAACTAACAAAAAGCCAAGCACATGGTAGGGGCCTGTCCAAACCCACCACTGAAGACTTCAGCCCTGACTCCTTAGAAGATTTTGCATGACACCCCGTAATAATTTCTTCCTGCCCTTTTTATCTGGTTCCTACTTGGGCATAAGAATTAGACCACAAAGCAAATCAAGCTCACTAGATTCTCTCATTGAAAAAAAGGCACTTGTATAAATCCTCTTAAATAAATTCTTGGATAGTATTCTATTCGTGGAGACAGTTACAAATTGCCTCATTCCTACGGATATTATGAGTTAAGTAAAGAGATTGGTTGAAAACTATTTATCTCGCAACTTGGCATATAGTAAATGCTAAAATTGTCCTTTAAAAAAAATCTTTGTAACATGCTTCAATTTATCTACATTGTTAGAAAGACCCAGTGGTGGCATGCTTTAAAGTGGTATAAAGTGAAAACTGAAATTCACAGGCCTGGTTCTTATTACAGACCTTGTTATTTCAGGCATCAAATATTAACTTTGAAATTCAGACTCACCTTCATAGGTATACCTTCTCTATAGGAAAAAATGAAGTCAACTGCAACAATGCCTATCATACATACAGGGCAGTACATGCCTATTCTCTCTCTCCTGTAACATAGTCTGTATGCTCTCACCTCCTGATCTACCATCTGTCTTCTCCCAGATCCCCCCCAAGTCCCCACACAGTTGGAAGACATCAGGGCCTTGCTCTTAGCCACTGGACCGAACCTTCCTTCAGTGCTGATGTCTCCTCTGGGAACACAGCTGGTCCTGGATCCTGGGAATTCAGCTCTCCTTGGTGAGTCCAACCCTCTGAAACATTGGGCAAAAATCCAGGGCTGGACAGGATTTATGGATGGGTGACTGCCTGCAGGTGGGAGGGGGCAGCAGTGGGGGGTGGCCAACAGGAAATCACTAAATTGCCTACAGAATCCAGACTCACCAGTGGAAACTTGGCTGACTTTCCACACGAGGTGAGTGCGGCTCTCAGTCTGGACTCCAGTTTGTCTGGATTCCAATATGGCCCCTCTTGGGCTGATGCCATGGCCCAGACCCTCTCCTTCAGGGGGACTCACTGAACTCTGAGAATGGGGTAGCAGTGAAGAACCCTTCTGTGTCTCCTCCCCACCATGAACCCTCTAACCTCTTACTCTGAAACAGCTAGAATCAGCTTTTAACAACAAAGCTATAGTGTTAACATCCTAGAAGCCAGCAATTTTGTCCAGGCCAGCTCTCTGTGCAGTCTACAGCCAGCCCAGACAGACTTCCCAAGGCTAAACCTCCCTGTTAGCAAGCATTGGGGACCAAGCTATTGCCTACACAACTGGTACCATCCAGTAGCAGAGTCTTTTGCCTGCATCTGAGTTCTGGGCTCCTCACTCTGGAATCATGGCCTGAGGCATGGGAAAGACAGAGCTATGCATATAAGAAGAGAACAGAAAATATATGGGAAATCTGTATGCCTTTCTCTTGATTGGGCTGTGGGCCTAGGACTTAACACTGGTCAAGAAGAAAAATCAAAGCTTTTAACCACTTTTATTTTTAAGCCTATAAAGTGGAGAAATTCTTTGCACTATATGCCCCTGAATGTTGATAACAGTAGCTAGAATTACTCTCTTGGCTCAAAGTTTAAAGTTCCTCTGTTCTTCCACCCAGAGGTTTAGCAATCACGCTGGTAGCTATTTATCAGAGTGGCCAAGGGCCTTAGTCACTTTAGAATTAGAGAGCAGAAAGATGTCTTTCAATTTCCATTATCATCTGCAATTAATGAGGAGTCATTATACCTTATCAGCAGATGAAAATGCTCCTGTCTTCTCTATTTCTGGTCTTGGGAAAGGTAAGACATCAATTAAATTAACAAGTGGCCCTTGTTTCCCACTTCATGTTTCCAAATGCATGAAAAGTTTGGCATTGTGTTTTTCCATATCCCACTGACCGGAAGCCACACAGCTTTAAATTTCAGTTTCTTGGCTTACCAATGATAAACTTACTCCAAATTACATGTGCATTGTAAACATCTTTGTTTTAGAATCCTCGTTATCCTGTTGTTGGTTATAGCTCAGTAACTAACAAAATGCATAGTAATTGCTGATCTTTAAGCTGAATAACTCTTTTGAGTCACTCAGGTACCATTCCATGTGCAAGAAAGGTTCATCGACTCATACCTTTCCATGATAGCTGTAATTTCTTTCTCCCTTATTCTGAAATAATATTTTTGTCTCCTTTTAGCCATGGGCAATAAGGATTTATTATGCTTGCTGCTGCATTCCATTGCTGGTTTATGATGCTTTGTTACCTTAGACTGGTATTTAAATCTAACAGTTAAGACACCTTAATATCCCAGTCTACATCCAGACTGCTCCATTTGAAGGAGACAGTGAACCAGTGTTCATAGAGTCCCTGAGTCTAACAGCCTGGGCAAAAATCAGTGCTGTCCCAGTACTGTAGACCTAAGGGAGCTCTGTGTGCAACTGTGGAGATAAATTAGTGTTAGGAAATTGTGTCAAATATCAGGACTCTGAGAACGGGGTTTCCACAGACCAGAGTCTCCAAGATACTATAGAAATGTGTAGTAAAGAATGAATGGGATTCAAATAGGCAAAATGTGGGAGAATGGACACGCAGGTTTTAAAAAGAAAGAAGAAAAATTGGTGTCATGAATCCTGAGAAGAAATGTACAAGATATTTATTAGGGATCCTTCTAGAAAAAAAACTAAATAACTCCTTTGCCTTGAGCCTGATGATGAGCAGCTGGACTGGAATAAAATCCTGAAGATAAGCAAAACTCAGCCAGAGTTCAACTCAGCAATTATGATGTCCTCTGTCCATCTTGAACTTCCCTGCTATTGACTCCCTCAGATTTGTTCATCCATTTTCTTCCAACTGGACAGGTTCCCACCCTTGGCTCCTCTGGCTGGGCCCTCTGTTACAAGAAAAAACCCAGGAAGGCAGTTTTGCACTGAGTTCCTAAGCAATTAAAACAGTAAGGCACAAATTAAGGAGCATCTTGAATTCTGGGCTTTAAAAAAGCAGATATACTATGATAGGATACTAAGATGAATACTTAGAGATTTTTAATTTTTGTATTGTGTGTGTGGTTGTATGTATATGCACATGCATGAGGTCAGATCCCTTGGAACTGGAAATATAGGAAGCTGTAATCCACCAGACATGGATGCTGAGAATCAAACTCAGATCTTCATCGAAAGAGGTGATCATGCTTAAGCACTGAGCCACCTGCCCAACTCCTAGCTTTGGTTTATAAGAGGATGATATAGTTAAAGAAATATTTGAGATTAATCCATGCAGTACTCTGAATGACTGATCTTATTCTAAGGGTAACATATTCTATTAAGCATTCCTCCCACACCAAACATCCCTGATTATGATGCCTTTTGTCACTCAGTACAGGCACTACCTTAATATCCAAGCCTGATCCACTTGATTTTGTAGATGAAAGCCATTTGCCAACCCTGTTGTAGCCAGCAAGTGGTTAGACTCAAGTATTTCTTGGTGGATGTGGCTGACTGCCTGTAACCCAATCGTACTGTGGTACCATGTGCCTCTGTGGTACAGGAGCAGTGGTTCCTGGACTTTGATTCTCCTGTTTCACTAGAGGAAGGGGAGACGGGAGATTCAAGAGTCTTAAAAGCCATGTCTCAGAGCTAGCTCTTACTCATTGAGTGTTGAAGTTCCAGAGAGTGAGTGATCTATTTCCAGAAATGGCCATTTTAGTTATATGACCCATTGACATCCAGATCACTTCAAGCCACAGCTGCAGCTGATGGAATCGCACTAGAGTGGGTCCTCTTGGCCTCACTTTCCATGAGTGTAAAGTGGAAATGTAAGTCCCTTATTGCTCTTCAGTCTTGACTCTGTGGGTTAGGTGTGGGAACTGCCCCTGGAGTCTGTGCTGGCAGAGGATTCAGCCTACCTGATCCACTACCCTGGGCAACGCAAGCACTACTTCTTTGCAACTTGATGACAGTTGTCCTTCCTGCAGAGGCCTCAAGGGTATGACAGCTTCTCTAGAAGGGAGAGCCAGTCCTCTGCCACTGACGCCTTTAGTCCAACCCTAAAGCAGTACCCTACAGGCTCTGTTTTCAGAGCAGAAATATTGCAGCCCTTCCCAAGGCATCTAAACTGTTTGGTAACTTTGAGTGAAATGTTTTTAGAAGGACCACCAAGGCCAATTGTATTCATTTATAGAGCAGTATCATTGATTTTGTTCTTAAATAACTTTTGTTGGGGTTTTAATTATCATAGCAATCTATCTTTATTGTAGGACAAGTAGAAATCAAATCAAAATGAAGAAAGAAAAAATATCTAATAACCCAACCCTGAGGTAATCAGTGCTAATACCTTTGTCTTAAACATCAATGTAGATCCTTTATCTATTTTATCTAAAGTTAAATATATTCTGCGCACTGGCTTTATAGTTTTAATCACTTGGTGATGTCCAACAAACATCTTTCTGCGTCTCTAAAACTTTTCTATAATTTCATTTTCATGAATGCTTTGGCAAAAGATGCTGTGTCTTATTAAGTCACTCCTCTGATGGATTTTGTGTTCTTTTTAGTCTTTTCACTATTTTTTAAAAAATAAATGTAATGATTTTTTTCTATATCCTCATGTGACCCCTATTTACTTAGGATCCATTCCTGGTGGTAGATTTATTATGTCAAAGCCTCATACCATTTGGGCTTACTATTTATTATCAAATTTGCCCCCATAAAAATCATGTCCCTCTCATACGCTCATCAGAACTAAATGAGAGAAAGGTCCCACATCCTATATGAGTTATAATCAGTAGTTTTTACACTTACAACTGTAATAGTGAACACAATGGTATAAAATACAAAGAAACATTATTTATAAGTACGTTCTTATTTTTATTCCTTTTGCAATTTAATAAAATTGTCAGTCTCTAATTTCATTTAGGAATTGCTCATTCATGTCATCTGTTTATTTATGACAGCTATTCTTTTTATTGACTTACAGGACACATATGTTTATATTTGTCTAACCATTTGATTGACATGAAACACATCACATATAGTCTAAAACAGAAAATGCTACCATGGCCAATGACTGAACATATGGTATTTCCCAAGTTACCTTCGGTTTTTGTTTGTCGTGTTCTTGCCTTTCTGGATTTTCTCTTTTTTTTCTACCCTTTCACAATCACTTCTTGCAATCTTGCTCTTTCCTACCCCTCCCACCTCAGCTAACCACTGATCTGCTTTCTATCAATCAGAGTAGGCAATTGCATTGTCTACAGTGTTAAATAAAGGGAGCAATACCATTGGGAATTTGACTTGATGATGCTTTTTTATTTTGACAGTTTCATGCGTGTATACGAAGTACACACACACACACACACACACACACACACACACACACACACACACACACACACTACCCTCCCTCTCCCAATCGTGCTCACCCCTTTCTTCCCAGGTAGGACTTCTTTCGCTCTTATAATTATTTATCCTCTTCTCTATTACCACATCTGTCATTAGAGTATTCCTCCTCTTGCTGCCAAGCACTCTGTGTGTGGGTATATTACAGTCTGTTTAATCACTCACTAATTGAGAGACAGAATGGTCCCTTCAGCTTCTAGTTATTAAAAATACAGCTGGCATAAAAATTCGTGTATTACTCTTTGGACATATGCTTTCATTTCTCTTCACTAAGCACCTAGGGGTGATGTGACTGTATTATATGGCAGGTGTGTGAGTAAGACTTGAGTAAATGATCAGACTGCTTTTCAGAGTGACCTGTTATTTCACATCCCCA